TCAAAACAAACTTAACTTTCATTGAGGTAAGAGAGAAATTATAAGGAAAGTATAAATCATTTTCTTCAAAGTGAAAACATCAAAGAGAAATTATTCACATTGTGGGCAGGAACTATTCAGTTGTGGCTATAATGTAATAAAAATGCATTTTCATGAATGGTTTATGAGCTTATAAAATTCACCAGCTTTGGGATAGAAGAGAACATCACACTGGATGTCTTTAAGGTCCCTTTTAATTCTATCATTCTTATTTTATTATTATTATTTTGATACAGTCTCGCTTTGTTGCTTAGGCTAGAGTGAGTGCCATGGCATCAGCCTAGCTCACAGCAACCTCAGACTCCTGGGCTCAAGCAATCCTCCTGCCTCAGCCTCCAGAGTAGCTGGAACTACAGGCATGCGGCACCATGCTGGGTGATTTTTTCTATATATAATTAGTGGCCATTAATTTCTTTCTATTTATAGTAGAGACGGGGTCTCGCTGTTGCTCAGGCTGGTTTCGAACTCCTGACCTCAAGCAATCTGCCCGCCTCGGCCTCCCAGAGTGCTAGGATTACAGGCATGAGCACTGCGCCCGCCTATATATTTTAATTGGCCAATTAATTTCATTCTATTTTAGTAGAGACAGTGTCTCGCTCTTGTTCAGGCTGGTTTTGAACTCCTGACCTTGAGCGATCTGCCCACCTCAGCCTCCCAGAGTGCTAGGATTACAGGCGTGACTAACATTCTTATTTCATATACATAGTCAGTCAGTGGTAGAGCTGAAATTGTAATTCAAGTCATCTGTTTCCTGATTCAAGGCACCTTGCCTCGCAGCTGCGCCTGTATATTCTTGAGTAAAATGTAGATTCAGGCTGTGCACAGTGGCTCGCACCTGTAATCCTAGCACTCTAGGAGGCTGAGGTAGGAGGATCATTTGAGGCCAGGAGTTCGAGACAGCCCGGGCAACATAGTGAGACCCTGTTGCCAGGTGGTGGCATGTTCCTTTAGTCCAGCTATTCGGGGGCTGAGGCAGGAGGATTGCTTGAGCCCAGGAGCTCTAGGTGCATCGAGCTATGATTGTGCCACTGCACTCTAGCCTGGGTGACAGAGCAAGACCCTGTCTCTAAAAAATTATTTTAATAAAAAAAATGTAGATTCATAGCATTAGGGTTTTCCAGAGTGATACAACCAATAGGATATACATAGACGATAAACGAGAGGGAATTTATTAGGGTACTTGACTTGTGCAATTATGGAGGCTAGGAAGTCCTTACGACACGCGATCTGCAAGCTAGAGACCCTGGAATGCAATGGCTCAGTCCCAGTCGAAATCCTCAGAACCAGAGAAGTTGATGGTGTAATTTCAGTTGAAGGTTGAAGGCCTGAGACCCTGTGGGCCACTGGCATAACCTGGAGCCAAAGGCTGGACAGCCTGGAGTTGTATGTTCCAAGGGCAGGAGAAGAGTGTCTCAGCTCCAGGAGACAGAAAGAGAGGAAATCTTTTTCTGCCTATTTTGTTCTATCCAAGGGATTGCAGCTGACCGGAGGGTGTCCACCCACGTCAAGGGCAGATCTCCTCATTCAGCCGCAGACTCACGTGCAGTCTCCCCGGAAACACCCTTACAATACACCCAGCAGTGATGGGATGCTTTATCCGTTCTCCAGGTATTCCTTAGTCCAGTTGAATTAACACCTAAATCGACTATCATAAGTCCACCCCTTGTCAATCTGACACACAACATACATCTCCTTAAACCATACTTTATCTCCATATAAGATAATAAACAAGTTATTAATGTTATTTCTACCTAAGGTGATGCAACATCCTGTATACAACCAAAGACACACTAATCCCGTCCACAGAAGAGGAGGTGATATTTGGAGGAGGTGAATACATGGGTGGCATTTACTCTTCCTCTGATATCCCATAACTACTAAATACTATGATGCAAAATTAACATACTTAAATACTGACATTAAGTCAGTATATATTTTGTTGCATGATAAGGAATAAAAGAGAAAAAACAAAAATATATGTGTGTATATATTCAACAAACATATCCTTAACAAATAGGAAATTCTCATGACAATTATAGTCTTCATTTCTGTAGTGGTGTTTATATTAATAACTATCTTCTTCTACTACCCATTCGGTATTCCCTTTGCCTTTTGAACGCCTCAGCTGGTCATGGTTCTCTACCTGATGGGGTGAGCCAAACCTCCTTTCCTGAAGTATCTGGGCCATTCATAGTCTTGCCTTGATTGGGTTGTTGAGTTTCCATTGACCTTAATCACAGGGCATGGTAATACTAAGAGCGCCCTAGGGGATCTCTTATACTCTGGACACTCTTCCTTACCTTCATTGTGGAGTAGTTGTACACTTTCCCTGGGGAAACTACCATTCAAAACTAAATTTACCTCCATGCCTATTTTTCTAAATAAAGTTTTATTGGGACATAGCCACACTCATGGGTTTACTTATCCTCTCTGGCTACTTTAGTGCTGTAATGAGAGAATTGATTAGTTGTGAAACATCTTACTGCCACCTTAATATGTATCTGGACCTTTATAGAAAAAAGCTTGCCTCCTGCATTAGAAATTGAAAGAGAAAGTAGAGATTGTGTCACATTTTGCCTTTTAAGTCTTCTAATAAAAGATTGATACACAACTGCAAACATAGCCAGTAAAATTAAGTGGGTTTTATTTTAGAGAGGTACCATAGAATATTCTATATGCCTGAATCTATCTATCTACTCAGCCTTTTGGGGAACCTAGAATTTATACTGCTTAAGGCAGTATCTTTAAAGTGTAATCCAAGGTACTTGCATTTTCAATTTGGGGTGCTTATTTAAAATGCAGATTTCGGATCCCTAAAGATGTACTGTACAAGAATTTCTGGAGGTAGGCCTGGATACTCTGATTACTTTCTCTTTTGTAACTATCAGTGTATCACATCCAACATGATAGAGTATTTGCTTTTCTTTTTCTTTTTTGAGACAGAGTCTCGCTTTGTTGCCCAGGCTAGAGTGAGTGCCGTGGCGTCAGCCTAGCTCACAGCAACCTCAAACTCCTGGGCTCAAGCAATCTCCTGCCTCAGCCTCCCGAGTAGCTGGATACAGGCATGCGCCACCATGCCTGGCTGATTTTTTCTATATATATTAGTTGGCCAATTAATTTCTTTCTATGTATAGTAGAGACGGGTCTCGCTCTTGCTCAGGCTGGTTTCGAACTCCTGACCTCAAGCAATCTGCCTGCCTCGGCCTCCCAGAGTGCACAGGCATGAGCCACGGGCCCGGCCTTGTTAACTCTTAATCCTTGAGTTCACATCTTTTTCATATTTTCTGTGACAAAGTGGTTAGTATACATAAAATAATTCTGTTGCTTATCGAAGTACAAGGGTGGTCTCTTGAGGAAAAAGCACTTGAGTGATTATTTGAATTGGAAGCTGAACTAACTGCTCTTTTTTGATGAAACATCATTTTTATTTGAAAATACAACTGACAAACTATGGCTATTTAGATTTTGGTATTTAGCAGAACTTTTCTTGAAAACAAAGTGAGTTTATCACTTTGTTTTGGTCAGGAAAACAACTGACCATATCTGTTGCCAAAGATAAAATGTGACCTTTCTCTGGGACAAATAGGTGACAAAGAAAAAATTTGACCTTTCAAGAAAAAAGGAGAAGTTTGGAAAACTTCCATCTGCTACTATGAGCTTGACAGCTTCCCAATAATATTTACAGACTTCTCTGATGAGATTAGTGATGATTTTTTTTTTTAAACTGTATAATGAAATGTGTTAACATTTGGAAGATCTGATAGCTCAGTGAACTGGTATTTTTCAATACATGATGTCCTAAATCATGCATGGGTAAAAGATCCATTCAAAGTACAAGACAGACCAGTGGTTTTAATGGTATTGAAATATGAAAAATTTATTATTTTCAGATTATACATTACAGCCCACTTTTGAGAAACTTACCATTTATGGAATTTTCAATGCAGTGTTAAAAAATATCCACAATTATTTGAAAAGGGTATTAAAATACTCCTTCCTTCTCCATCTACATATTTGAGTGAGGTTAGATTTTCTTCATATACTTCAACCATAACAAAAATTTTAACAGATTGAATGCAGAAGCAAATATGAGAATCTAACAGTTTTCTGTTAAGTCAAACATTAAAGAAATTTACAAAAATTCTATTTTCACAGTTTTTTTATTTTGGAAAATAGTTATTTTTCATAAAGATGTTATATATGCATGCTATTTATGTTATTTACGCATGAATGGGTTTACTATTGCTTGTTGGGTTTTTTGTTGTTTTTTTTGAGACAGGGTCTGGCTCTACAGTCACCCAGGCTAGAGTGGCTCATTGCAACCTCAAACTCCTGGGCTCCAATGATCCTCCTGCCTCAGCCTCCAGCCCAGCTGGGACTACAGGTGCACGCCACCATGCCCTGCTAATTTTTTATTTTTGTAGAGATGGGCTCTCTCTATGTTGCTTAGGCTGGTCTCAAACTCCTGGCCTCAAGTGATCCTCCTGCCTCGGCCTCCCAAAGTGCTAGGATTACAGGTGTGAGCCACTGTGCCCAGCCTACTATTGCTTTTTCATGAAGTAATACATACTTAAATGTCTCAGTTTTAATTTGTAGTACAGTAAATAGTGCCAAACGTAACCTACATAAACAATAGTCTTTAGGGTTATCAATAATTAGAATGTAAAGGGGTCCTGCATCCCCCAAATTTGAGAACAGCTAGGATACAACAAGATTTGAAGATAGAGAACTGAAATTCAAGTTCCAGTTCTGTCACTTAACCGACTCCGAGTTTAGGCAAGTTAACTTAGGCGCAGGCTCTTAAGTCAGTCTGTCTGGGCTCGTAATTTTGGCTCAACGACTTGCTGGTAGTGTGGCTTTGGGTGAGTCATTTTACCTCTATGTAAACAGGGATAACTGTTACACCGACTTCCTCGGGTTGCTGTGAGAATTAAATGGGATTATACTTGTAAAATGCTTACCGTTATAGCTAGGCATGGTTAAGAGTCAGTAGACGTTAGCAGCTGTTAGTCCTCTAGTCATCTGGGACACGGTCTTGGCTCTCTCCGTCCCGTCCGTAGAGGACAGAAGCTATTTAAGTGTCACAGACTTGAGGGGAAGGTTAAGTCAACGTGGATATCTGTGTGGCCGTCCATCTGTAAAGAGAGTTATGTGTTACAAAAATTTCCTCTTTCAGTTTCCTTTTTTCAGTTTCGGAAGTAATAACGAGACTGAAAAAACATTCCCTGAGCCCTTGCCCTATCATCAAGCTAGAAAATAGGAAAGTGTCTTATTCAGTACTCAAGGGAGCTGAGGTTTTCCCAGAGACTGGAACACCCGGGAGAGCCGAGCGGGGCCGCCACTCAGGTTCGCGGCGGCGGGCAGCCGGCTGACGCGTTTCGCCTCGGTCACGCCGTCCTGTTCGGACGGACGTATCTCGTCTCCAGCCTCTCCTGCAGCTTTAAACGCCGTCAAGCCCACCTCTTGCATTTTTTTTTTTAGGGATACCTTTGTGGCAGCCTCTAAATGCTGTAAACGCAAGCCGAGGGGCGGGGGGCAACCTTGCCAGCGACGCGGGTCTCAGCTGGCAGACGTGCCGCCGGCGCCCCGCGCGCTCCGTCCCGCCCCGCTTCTCACCCGGGCGCGGCGGCCCCGCGCCCCGCACCGTGCCCGCCCAACGCCAGGGCTGCCCAAGCAGCCCAGCATCAGGCCCGCTTGCCACCGCGGACGTGACGCGGCCGGGACTGCCTCATCTTGAGGAGCTTTTCTGTCACGGAAACTCGAAATGCCCCCTGACCCTGCCAGCGTCATCCCCCGTCCCTCCCTCCGACAGACCTCCGGCCTCAGTCCCTGCCCGCACGAGCCGCGTCTCGCGCGATTCCCTCCAGCTCTCGCGACACTTGCGGCCGGGCCCCCCGCAGCGCTCCCGCCCCGCCGCGGCCCTCCAGCCCCGCCGCGCGTTGTGCTCTGCAGCCCGGGCGCGGCGGAGCCAGGTGTTCGGCGCGAGCCCGCGGGGCCGCAGGCTCCGCCCGCCGCCGCCCGCGCGGGCTCGCGGTGACGGCCGCGGCGGGGACATGTCGTGCCCCCCTCAGCGAGGCCCGCAGCGCGCGCCGAGCCTGCCGGGCTGCCAGGTGAGGCGCGGGCGCTGCGCGACCAGGCCCGGCCGGGGCGCGGGCGGCGCTGCGGGCGCGGGTGCCGGGCGCGGAGGACGCGCAGCCGCGGCGGGGACGGCGTGGGAGGACCGGCGGCGGGTGGGGCGTCCCGGCTCGGGCGCGGCCAGGCCCCGGGTGCCGACTGCGCCCCGGGCAGCGGGACATCCCCTGGTGCCACTGGCGGCCCGCTGCTCTCCGGCGGGAGGAGACCGGACCCCGAGCTCTGCAGCCCGGAGCTGGCGGCAGGAGGCCCGGGTGGCGCGAGGAGGGACGCGCCGGGGTGGCTGAGCGGCGTGCGTGCGGGAGGGAGGACGGCGGGCCGGCGGCCCGGGAGCGCCCGCGCGGGGCGGCCAGGTGCCCGCCGGCCGCGGTGCGGGATGCCCAGCCTCGCGCCCTCCTCGTAGGAGCTGCGGCGGGCGCGCCTCCGACGGCCGCGGTGCTGCCCCTCGCCGGCTGGTATTAGCCCCGGGGAGGGAGGGACGCGTGGGTCAGGGCGCTTTCTGTGAGGAGGCGACTTTGGGGCCGCCTGTGACTCCTCACCTGAGACGCGGGGCCGTGCGAGTGCGCGTGCGCCTGCGCACCGTGGCTCCCGGCGAGGTTCGGTGTTTTCAGCCGCTTAAGTAACTTCAGGGATCAATCAAAATGACTGGTGCTGCAGTGAACAGTTTTTTTTCCCTGCATTTTGAGATTCCAGTAGACTTGTGAATGTGTAAGGTTAGGGGGCCTGGAACCTAAAACCCAGGCGTTACTAGGACATGGCGTGACCCAACTGAGACTTGGTTGGAGGAGATTTTCTGCTTCTGGCACTAGGTTTTTAGATTGGCAATGGGGGTGGGAAATGTTTTGTTGCAATCAGGTTTTGACCATGTGTTCTGGTGATGCTGGGTTTGTTTGAACCTTACTGTCTTGAGTAAAATTATGCAGCTTTCTGAGAGACAGTTGGGAGCTCAGTGCAGAATTGTTGATCTAACAGAGAAGCATTTGTTTAAAGCTCCCCCCATCCAGCTGTTAGTTTGTTATTTCTGTTTTAAATTATGTAGCCGCTTTGGGTTGTTTTTTGTTTTTGTTTTGCAGAAATGGCTCCTTAAGGTGACCAGTTTTTTTTGTGTGTGTGTGTGAACAATTACACTGTTAATAGAAGGAAAATCATTTCCTCATAGTTTTCTTTTATCCTCAGAGACCGAAATGTCATCAGAGGAATCACACCAGGAACAGTTGTCCCAGTCAGATCCATCCCCATCACCAAAGTCATGTAGTTCCTTTGAGCTACTAGACATGGATGCTGGCAGTTTGTATGAACCAGTTTCTCCACATTGGTTTTACTGTAAGATAATAGATTCTAAAGAGACATGGATTCCTTTCAACTCTGAGGATTCACAGCAGCTAGAAGAGGCTTATGGCTCTGGTAGGTGAAAATGACTTGAAATGCACAGAGACTTTCATCTCTCTCAAACTATAATATAATAGTCCTGGCTGGGTGGTGGCTTACACCTGTGATACCAGCACTTTGGGAGGCTGAGGCAGGAGGATTGCTTTGGGCCAGGAATTTGAGACCCTATCTCTAAAATTTTTTTTAAAAATTAGCCAAGTCCTAGCACTCTGGGAGGCCGAGGTGGGCAGATTGCTCAAGGTCAGGAGTTCGAGACCAGCCTGAGCAAGAGCGAGACCACATCTCTACTATAAATAAAATTAATTGGCCAACTAATATATGTAGAAAAAAATTAGCCGGGCATGGTGGCGCATGCCTGTAGTCCCAGCTACTCGGGAGGCTGAGGCAGGAGGATCGCTTGAGCCCAGGAGTTTGAGGTTGCTGTGAGCTAGGCTGATGCCATGGCACTCACTCCAGCCTGGGCAACAAAGCAAGACTCTGTCTCAAAAAAAAAAAAAAAAAATTAGCCAAGTGAGGTGGTGTGTGCCAGTAGTCCTAGCTAATGGGAAGGCTGAGGCAGAAGGATCCCTTGAGCCCAGGAGTTCATGGTTGCAGTGAACTATGATCACATCACTTCACTCTAGCCTGGCAACAGGAAAAAAAAAAATGTAGGGTAGAGTGTCATATTGCAGAAGAATGACCTCTACCCTATTTCTTGTTTTTTTGTTTTTTTTTCATGAAATAAGAATAGTGCTGATTATAATAAATCATCATGATTGGTCATTAATTTACCTTTTGGTCCCTCAAGCAAAAAATTCAGAAAAATCTTATATACTTTTATTTTTAAAGGGGCACTACTGTCTTTCCTCAGAAAAAGAACAAAACTGTTGGGTAGTATTTTTTTTTCATGTTTCATTAAAACCAAGGACGGTTTTGGCACTTTGTAATGTAGTGAAAAAGATTCTGTTTTGTTTAATGTTTAGCCACGTAGAAACTGTTCATTCATGTGTTTCATAATATTATTTAGAGAGTAACTCAGAATTGTATTTGGGGAGATTTATTTTGAAATATGTACTTCTTTTTCCCCTTTCCAATCCTTGCTAGGAAGAGATTGTAATGGGAGAGTTGTCCCCACTGACGGGGGCAGATATGATGTTCATTTGGGGGAGAGGATGCGGTATGCTGTGTACTGGGATGAGCTAGCCTCAGAAGTGAGGCGATGTACATGGTTTTACAAGGGAGACAAAGACAATAAATATGTTCCCTACTCGGAGAGCTTCAGCCAAGTTTTAGAGGTATACCTTTCACCCTTTTATACTCTTTTTTTTTTTTTCATTTTTTTCTTTCTCTTATTTAATAATCTTTTTTTCCTCTTACAACTTTGTGAAATTTCCAGAAAGAGTTTGGTTCCCTTTGCATCACATTATAAAATTTAACAAAGCACTCGACTTTGCAAGTTAGTTTCAGGATGAAGTAGTTTTATTTTCAGATTTTTAAAATATTGTGGGAACTCTATTGTGCTTTTTAATTTAAATTAAAAAAATTTTTTCCCTAGTTGATCATTGTTAATAAACTATGACCACAAGATTGATCTCTTTTGATTTTCATTTTTCTTGCTCTGAAAACTGAAATTTGTTTTCTCTAAATTAGAGCAGAACATTAATATTATTGATAAGAATATATAAAAATATGAACAGTGATTATCTTCTAATGTAGATGATGGAATTAGGAGTGATCTTTTTTCTTTGTCCTGTGCTATTGTCTGTTGTAATTTTAAAATAATTTAAGAATAAATTTGATAAATTGAAGTAGGATATTCTTATTGAAACTCATTTATCTAGTAGTAGTCTTGTGAATAAGTTCAGTAGGAAAATTATTGGAGAAATATAATGAAATCTGTTTTCTTTTAAGGAAACCTACATGCTTGCTGTAACTCTGGATGAATGGAAAAAGAAACTAGAGTCTCCCAACAGAGAAATTATTATATTACACAATCCAAAGGTAAAATGAATTAAAGCATTTCTCTAATATTGGGATTAAAGGTTAATTGCATTACTAAGGAGAACTTAATTGGTTTCTTTTTCCTCCTGTGGACTCTATATAGAATAACTTTTGGCAAATTTTACATTTGAATTTATAATTATAAAATTTAAAACTTGTAGCTATTGCCATTATTTATTCCACTTAGTTTATACAAAAGAATTTTCCTGGGGAAAATCATGCCACTATAGATTAAGAAAATCACCAACACATTATGTGAGCATATATTCCCCATGTAGGGTATTGCTTGCTGACAGATTTGTTAGCGTAGTGTATTTTCAGGGTTTTTATTTCAAGCTGTAAGAGTTTCACATCAAAACTCCAGTTGAGGTTTGATTATATGTTTTGAAAGACATTCCTACCCTCTAAAATGTATTATGACATAGAGATGAGTATAATGTAGAATATCTTTATTGCTCTGATCTTTTCTTTTCAAGCTCATGGTGCATTACCAGCCAATTGCAGGATCTGATGAATGGGGATCAACCCCTACCGAGCAGGGTCGACCAAGAACAGTGAAGAGAGGGGTTGAGAACATCTCTGTTGACATTCATTGTGGTAATGTTAATTATTTTTTTTTGTCTTATGATATACTTATTTGTTTATTTGTTTATTCCTTTAATTGTGACTTTTTCTATGGATTTGAATCAAGGCTTAAAAATAATCTTTAATTGTATAGACTTATTATGAGTTAATCTACTAAGAATCACTTCATCTACTGAGAATCTTAATAGATGTAAAAATCTCTTTTAAAGCCACTAAGTACGTATGGTTAGATGGGTAATATTTGGCAGTACTACGGAGGAAGTCACTAAGTACAGATTAACTGATTTAGTCCTAATTCTAAGAAGTGTGATTCCACCTGCTCGACTAGAAATTTATTGACAAACTTCTGTCCTTAAAGATTTTCATCTAAGGAAGATTATTTTTCAGTAGGACCGTGGTGATTACCCATTGCTGTCTAGCTAGGGTCACTTATGGTTGGTTTTATAATTAACTTGATTACAAAATTCCTTTTGTCTTGCAGAGGATATGACTTGTGTCTTGGACAAAGTCTTAGATTTACTGTAATTCAAAAAAAAGTCAAGTTTAAAGTTTCAGATTTTAAAAACATACCAGACATTATTGGGACAATTGGTTAAAGTGGAATATGAGATAAAAGTATTAATGTTAAATTATATGAATTGAATGTACTATGGTTATGTAAGAATATTCGTAGGAAATATACATTAAATATACATTAAAATGTTCAAGGGTTAATGATGTATGTAACCTGATGATATATGCAACTTGCTCCCAGATGGTTCAGAGAAATGTGTGTATGTATACCCCCCCACACACACACATACACACAATAATAAAGCACATGTGATTGTTAAAAAGTTGACTCTATGTAAAAAGTACATGGGCATTTCTGTTCTTTCTAGTTTTCTGTAAGTTGGCGGTTATTTCAAAATAAAAAGTTTTAAAAGCCTGAAATATTTTTTCAGACTTATTTCAATATAAATTAGAAACAAAGTAAAATTAACATATTTTTACTAAGTACTTAAATATAGGACTATTTCATGCCTTTTAAATTGTTCATATTTTAACTTGCACATATTTATAACCTATTTGTTATATATGTTTGATTTTAGAATACATGACTGATTACATAGGATAATTTTTCTTTTTAATTTCATTTATAGGGGAACCTTTACAAATAGATCATTTGGTTTTTGTAGTCCATGGGATTGGACCAGCTTGTGATCTCCGTTTTCGAAGCATTGTGCAGTGTGGTAGGTTTGCAAAGCATGCAAGATTAGATGACTAAAGAATTGGTGCTCCTGTGAGCTGAGATAAAGCCTTGTGTTTGGTCTGCTGTCTTAGCTGCATAATAAGATTTGGATAGCTAAAGATAGGTGGCAAGGTAGTAAAGCTTTCTAGCTGAGACCTAAAGTATTAGTGAATTCCTGAGGCTAATAGTTTATACTCTTAACTAATAATTCTTGAGTGAATAAGCCCTTGATAAAGATGGTGGACTTTAAATGAATAACAAAAGCATCAGTCACTTTCGTAATTCATACCGTGATAAACCTCTTGATATTCTAAATTGGAAGATTTAAGTCATGAGTATAACTAGATTTTGAAAGGTAATGCCCTCTAAAACTTGATAGTATTCGCCTTTTTTTTTTATTATTATTTTATTTTGAGACAGAGTCTCACTCTGTTGCCCTGGCTAGAGTGCCTCACGTCAGCCTAGCTCACAACAATCTCAAACTCCTGGGCTCAAGCAATCCTTCTGTCTCAGCCTCCAGAGTAGCTGGGACTACAGGCATGCGCCACCATGCCTGGCTAATTTTTCTATATATTTTTAGTTGGCCCATTAATTTCTTTCTATTTTTTTAGTAGAGGCAGGGTCTTGCTCTTGCTCAGGCTGGTTTCGAACTCCTGATCTCTAGCGATCCAGCCGCCTTGGTCTCCCAGAGTGCTGGGATTACAGGTATGAGCCACCGAGCTCGGCCTTGAAACTTGATAGTATTCAAAATCTAATTGTCCCAATTAAGGAGTCTGACTCTACTGGCTAATGGTTCTAGGCATAAACTAGAATTGTATTCTGGAAGGTCAAGATCCATGTGCTGTGAATTTCAAACAGCAGTGTATTTTTTTTTAATCTAAAGTATTGGATGGTGGTGGTTTAGAAGAACCAGAAAGTTAGAATAGGAACCTGGCTACAAGATGAGTTGACATATTGTCATAAGTTTTTGTTTTTAATTGAAACAGTTCCCCTGTGATACACATTTTGAAGTTAGCCTTTCTTTTGGTGAAGTGTTTTATATGGTGAAAGCAAGTTCTATATTAAAGGAATATCTTTTCCTGTGTGCAGTCATCGTTTTTCCTGAATACCACTTTACTATTTTTGACTCGTCAGTATATGTTCTAAGCAAATGTAGTTAGAGTATAATTACATGATTTGTTGCATCCTAATTCTACAGATTTGTTGCTTCACTGATGATGCATACATTTTCCTTTCTAGTTAATGATTTTCGCAGTGTTTCCTTGAACTTGCTACAGACACATTTTAAGAAAGCCCAAGAAAATCAGCAGATTGGGAGGGTAGAATTTCTTCCAGTCAACTGGCACAGTCCTTTGCATTCTACTGGTGTTGATGTGTGAGTAATACTTGATACCCTTGAGTTGTTAACTGTGATTTTAATATGTTTTCTCATCATCAATATGTTTGGGGACATTTCTGCTATAGCTGGTTGTATATTTAAAATTTTTTACAGACATGCTATTAAATGCTGATCAAGTCTTTGGTTTAACTAGCTGTGGTTAAGAAAAGGGCTATGCTTTATCTTCTTCAGTATGTTTTACTGGCTCACTAGTATTTACTATTAACATTACAGCTTTGTTTTGTTATTAACGTTAAAGCCAAACATTGCTTTCTTTCTTTTTTTTTTTTTTTTTGAGACAGGGTCTTGCTCTGTTCTCTGGGCTTGAGTGCTGTGGCGTTAGCCCAGCTCATAGCAACCTCAAACTCCTGGGCTAGAGCAATCCTTCTGCCTCAGCCTTCCAAAGAGCTGGGACTACAGGCATGTGCCACCATGCCCGGCTAATTTTTTCTATATAGATTTTTAGTTGTCTGGCTAATTTCTTTCTATTTTTAGTAGAGACAGGGTCTCGCTCTTGTTCAGGCTGATTTCGAACTCCTGATGTTGAACAATCCTCCCGCTTCGGCCTTCCAGAGTGCTAGGATTACAGGCGTGAACCACCACGCCTGGCCCAAATATTGCTTTCTTTCTGTCATGTATAAGGATTCCCGTCTTTTGATGTCAAAAACCAAGCACACCCCGAGATGTACAAAGTATTTTGTTGTTTCTTTTGTAATCATATTTAAAAATATGGCCAGGCACGGTAGCTCATGCCTGTAATCCTAGCACTCTGGGAGGCCAAGGCAGGAGGATTGCTCGAGGTCAGGAGTTCGAGACCAGCCTGAGCAAGAGTGAGACCCTGTCTCTACTAAAAATAGAAAGAAATTAACTGGCCAACTAAAAATATGTAGAAAAAATTAGGTGGGCATAATGTAGTCCCAGCTACTCGGGAGGCTGAGGCAGAAGGATTGCTTGAGCCCTTGAGCCCAGGAGATTGAGGTTCTAGTGGAGTTACAGGACGGGACACGCAGCGGTATCGGCTTGACCAGGGCAACAGAGTGATGACTGGGTGTCCAAGAAAAAGGGAAAAAAGGAGAATTATCATATTATAGGGGTTATGGTATGGTGTGGGTGATAGGAGTTATTTTGTGGCATCGTTTAGGGAGGGAAACACGAGGGACGATTTGGTTCCCAAACATAAATGCAGTCAATGAGGTAGCAATTGGTGCATGGATTTTGTTTTTTTTGTTTTTGTTTGGCACAGAGAGCTCGGCTTGGTGCCGCTATAGTAGGCCGGTGGTGCTGATGTTTGCTCACAGCAACACTCAAACTCCCTGGGCGGCAGTAACCTTCTGCCTCACAGCCTCCCGAGTAGCTGGGACTAGCAAGGTCATGCGCCACCATGCCGGCTAATTTTATATATATATTGTGGTTATGATGTTTTGGTTATGTAGAATGGGAGTGGCCACTTTATATCTTTCTGATTTTTGATAGTACTGATAACATCGTGAGGGAGGTCCGCGCCGTAGCTCAGTTTGTCTTGAGGAGATTATCGAACTTTTCCGTGTGACCTATTCTTTTTGTGAGCAGTCCCGCAGCGGGGTTCTCAATTGGCGATCAGGCAATTGATTTTTAAGTGATGCTCTTCATTACAAGGATCTGTCCCTTATTTGGTTGTGGTACAATTTCTTTATGTGGGGTTTACCAGAGATTTAGCGAATTTGACTTATATTGATTGTATTCTTGTTTATGGGCTTGTCAGACAATATGGATAGTTGTATATTGTTGCTGGTGAGTTTCAGAGTTTAGGCGATGCCCCTGAGCGATGAAGAAATAGTACATTTCCGAGCGTGGTCTTGGCAGATGGCTTTTTCTTTTTTTTTTTTTTTTTTTTTTTTCTTTTTTTAGTTTGTACTCTACCAGAGATGCTTTTCTGATTCTGTGTCTCTCGGTTCTTAATACCCTATGATTTGAGTATATCCTTTATGCCAAACACTTTGCTGTAGTTTCGCTGTTAGTAGTATGGAGTCCACATTCTTTAATATTTGAGCTGACGCTACGAAATTATTAAGGGCATGTAGCCCTCTCTAAACTGCCGAAGCCGTTGAATATTTGAGGACTCTTTCTGGAAATTTTCAGGAAGCTTTAAGTGAAAGTTGATTTAGATGATGTCAGCATTGTCTTCCTTTGCCAGATATGAGTTCTGTTTGCCTTTGGCATCTGGCATTTTCACCGTTTTCTGCTTTTATAAATTCTGCACTGAGAGAGGGAGCTGATCCCTTTATCACGTGACTTGTGATCAAAGAACCTTAATGCTGAAAATTCTAGGAAAACTTCTTATATCTTTTTTTTTTTTTTTTGAGACAGAGTCTCACTTTGTTGCCTAGGCTAGAGTGAGTGCCATAGCGTCAGCCTAGCTCACAGCAACCTCAAACTCCTGGCTCAAGCAATCCTTCTGCCTCAGCCTCCAAGTAGCTGGGACTACAGGCATGCGCCACCATGCCAGCTAATTTTTTCTATATATATTAGTTGGCCAATTAATTTCTTCTATTTATAGTAGAGACGGGGTCTCGCTCTTGCTAGGCTGGTTTCGAACTCCTGACCTCGACATCACGCCTGCCTCGCCTCCCCAGAGAGCTAGGATTACAGGCGTGAGCCACCGCGCCCGGCATATCTTTTTTTTTTAAACCTTGTATTATCGAGAATTTTGTACACAAAAGTAATGTGTCTTCATGTACTGATTACCTAGCCCCAGTAAGCCTCAACACATGGATGGTTTCGTCCCATCTGTTTCTCCATATACTTATCTCCTGCCCCTCCATCTACCATATAATTTTTGAATAAAATCTTAGACATCATATCATCTGTAAATGTTTCAGTTTGTAGAATATATCTTAAAGGACTTTAAAAATATATAACCATAACATCATCATTACACCTAAAACAATTCTTCTTTTTTTTTTGAGGCAGGGTCTCTGTCACCCAGGTGGAGTACAGTGGCATCATCATAGCTCACTGCCCTTGATCTCCTGGGCTCCAGCGATTCTCCTGCTTCAGCCTCCCAAGTAGTGGGATTACAGGCGCTTGTCACCAAGCTCTGCTAAGTTTTTGTAGAGACAGGTCTCATTGTGTTTCCCAGGCTGGTCTCGAACTCCGGGCCTCAAGTTATCCCAAAGTGCTGCTATTATAGGTGTGAGCCACCACACTCAGCAAAATTCTTAATATTATCAAGTATCCAGTCAGTGTTAAAATTTCCAATTTTATATGCTCATGATATATATGTATAATCATATATATAAATATACAAATGTATATGCGCATATTTTAAACTGGTATCCAAATAAAGTTTGTGCATTGCAGTTAGTTGATATGGGTTTTAAATCTCTCGTAATCTCTTAATTATCTATCTACATCTATAATTTTCTTGCAATTTATATATTGAAGAAACTGCATTGTTTGTCTTGTAGCATTTTTTACACTCTGAATTTTGTTGATCACATTCCTTTGGCTTCATTTAAACACGTTCCTTTGTCCTATGTTTTTCCTATAAATTGATAGTTGAAGCTTATATCATTAAATGTTTAAATGTAAGGAAGAAGGCTAAGCTAGATAACAGCTTAGAGGGGGCTACGAAATATATTTAGGTTTCCTACTTAAAATATCTTTCCTTTTTTTCAGAGATCTGCAGCGAATAACTCTGCCCAGCATTAATCGCCTCAGGCACTTCACCAACGACACAATTCTGGATGTCTTCTTCTACAATAGCCCCACCTACTGTCAGACTATCGTGGACACAGTTGTTTCTGAAATGAACCGAATATACACACTTTTTCTGCAGAGGAACCCTGATTTCAAAGGGGGTGTATCCATTGCTGGTCATAGTTTAGGTAACAAATGAATTCTCTGTGACCAGAGAGGACTGTTAAATTTTAAGGATGCCCGTACTTTGAAAGCACAGTGTCTTTTATCAGTATCAAATTCAGAGGTCTAGAAGTGGTCTGTAATGAAGAATTTGGAAGGGGTTGGATGGGTGGTGGTAAATTGGAAAGAAAGACTCCCTGCTGTGTAGATTTGCTTACATGTGTAGAGCTAATGCTTAGAAATTGTCCCTTCTTTCTTCTATTTTACTTATAGGTTCGCTTATATTGTTTGATATCCTAACAAATCAGAAAGATTCTTTGGGGGATATTGACAGTGAAAAGGTAATTTAGATGCTCAGATAGGTTCTCTTGTAGTATTCCTTAGTAAGGATTTTTAGATTTTAGACTTATTTTTTGTTTCTAGCTGAGTTTAGTTTCATGCCATGATGTTAAATTTACGTTTATTTTTATTTTGACAGACTTATAATTATCTCTGTTATTCTTGGATGATAGAAGCAAGATAGTAATATGCTTCTACAAATAATTGCCATATTCTGAAATAACCATAGATGTCTTATTTTCCTTTATAAATATGCACTAATCTATTAATAGAATTATAGTATCATTGACCCAAACAGTTTGCATATGGGGAAATGAAGAATGAATTGGATGCAAATTGATGTGATTTATAGAAGTTCTATTTGAAAGCAGTGAGGGAGTTGGTGTTTAAACATATATTTTAGTAAAACAAAGTCCTATGAACATATATCATGTATAGTATTGATGTGGTACTTAGCGTATTTAATACAAGTACTATCTTGTATTTTTTTCTCTTTTTATGTAAATGTCCTATTTCTCCTGTTGGACCATGAGTTCTTCCAGGGAAGAGTCTTGTCTTAGATTGTTTTATTTCTTACACACTGTTTCCCTAATTCCTTAAGCACTGAGCTTCCCTAAAGCTCTGTAAATGTTTGGTAATGATGATGAATAATACTTTGAAAATTATTCACTCATTCATTTAAAAACATATTTTCAACCAAAGTAACAAAAATCTTAGAGCTCAATCACCCCTTAGTTTATATTTTATATAAATTACAATTTATTTAAAATTAAGATATAGCACTGGAAATCTTAAATAATACATTTGTTAATTGTAAAGTAATATTGATAAAGGAAACTAAGTGAATTTTGAGAATATGAGCTTTATAATTTAATTTTTAGGATTTGCTAAATATTGTTATGGATCAAGGAGATACACTGACACTAGAGGAAGATTTGAAGAAACTTCAACTCTCTGAATTCTTTAATATCTTCAAGAAGGAAAAAGTCGATAAGGAAGCCCTGGTAAGAATAATTTTTTAAAAGTTTATGCCAAACTTATTTGCACTATGTTTATTGCTTCATGTTTACCAGGAGCCTGCCCTTGGTAACATTATCACTAATAATGTTTTTTTAAAGCATTATTTAGCCTTATTTATTTGCTTTTTATCATATAAAGTGACCTTTCCTTTGTGGGAGCTCAAAGTTCAGATGAGCCACGTTGATATTCATAGAGCAGTAGAGCAAAGGGAAAACAGCACGGCTCAGAGAAAGCAGGAGTGTGAGAACAAACCCTGAATAACCACTAACTGTTCCAACTCTTATTTTCTATTATGCTTTCAAGAGTTCTGTTGCTATTTGCTTATTTCTTTTTTGTTTTTTCCCCACTTTTGTTGGGCTTTTTTTCTGGTTCGTGATACATTCATTCTAAATATAACTTTCTAAATATACATTCATACTAAATATTTAACATATTTAGTAAATGCTTTACTATGATCAGCAAACTTGCTGGAGATGGAGTGGAAAATAAGACAGATATGGTCTCTGGCCTCATAGTGTTTCTAATTAAGTGGGGAAGATACAAATTAAATAATCACACACCACTAATTACAATTATGAAAAGAACTAAGTAGAAAAGGCACACAGTGGCATAAGAATGTATAATGGGATGAATTAACCCAGTGTGAGAGGGTGAAGGAAGACTTCCCTAACAAGATGAGTGTCACTTAAGTTGAGATCCTGTTCATCTGTTCCATACTTCTCTGTTTGCTATATGTTCTCACTGCTCTGTCCATGAGTCCGAGTGTGATCAGAGACATTGAAGTGAGTATGGAAATCAAGGAGGGTTTTTCTGTCACAAAGTCATTAGATATCCAGCTTCTCTAGGTTTTTTTTTTTTTTTAACAATAACAATGTTATCTATATTACTCTAACATTGATACTGTAGTATTGATACTTTCTATTCTTTTTAGGAATAAAATAGACTTTTCTTCTTGAAGTTATTAAGCTCCCACTAGGGAGCTGGAGCAATACAAAACAAAGAACCACCAAGTGCCTAGGTCTTATTCCTCTTAGGGGACAGGGTGCTTAATTTATTTTATTTTGCCTAGAAAATAAGAAGGTTTCATTTTCCATGTTTAGGCTTTATGTACAGACAGAGATCTTCAGGAAATGGGAATTCCTTTAGGACCAAGAAGGAAGATATTAAACTATTTCAGGACCAGAAAAAATTCAATGGTAATGTGCCTAATATAGCTTTTGGACTAAGCAATTCTTCGACATCCATGGTGTGTCCCTGAGCTTTGTGGGATGTTTACTTTGGGGAGCTATGGAGTTTTGGTAATTGATCTTTGGTTCTCCTTTTAGAAATTAATTTTTTTAATCTATATCCTTAAAAATACTATTAGTTTGAGAAGTCATATCTCCCCTGGACTCCTACCATTCTATTTTTTTCTTTTTATAACAACTTTATTAAAATATAATGCAATTACATATCACAAAATTCGCCCTTAATTTTAAAATATACATTTTTTTTTTTTTTTTTTTTGAGACAGCGTCTCACTCTGTTGGCCTGGGCTAGAGTGCCATGGCATCAGCCTATCTCACAGCAACCTCAAACTCCTGAGCTCAAGCGATCCTTCTGGCTTAGCCTTCCGAGTAGCTGGGATTACAGGCACGTGCCACCATGCCTGGCTAGTTTTTTTCTTTTTTAGTAGAGGCGAGATCTCGATTTTGCTCAGGCCGGTCTTGAATGCTGACCTCAAGCAATCTTCCCGCCTCAGCCTCCCAGAGTTCTAGGATTACAGGCATGAGCCCGGCCTAAAATATACAATTTAATAGTTTTTAGTATATTCAGTTATGTAACCATTACCACGATCTAATTCCAGAACATTTTTGTCACCCCCAGAAGAAAACCCAGACCATTTGCAGTCACCCCCCATTCCTCCCTGCCCCCAGCCTCTGCAGCCACTAATCTACTTTCTGTCTCTGTGGATTTGCTTATTTTGGACATTTCATATAAATAGAATCATACAATATATGGCCTTTTGTGACTAGCTTCTTTCCCTTAGCATAATGTTCTCAAGCTTTATTCATGTTGTAACAGTACTTCTATATTCAGTTTTTCTGGTCACTCAATTCCTTTCCATATCTTAGTAGTTAATTCTTTTTCCACTTTATAGCAGGTGGCTCAGTTCTTTTTTAAGATTTAGTCCTTGGCCCAGTGTGTGTGTTTTATTCTATACCCATAGGGACATCCTACTTGCCTTGATTACAATGGCACAGCACTTCATAGAGCTCTTTACCAATCCTCAACATTTCTTCCAACAGTCCTCTGCTGTTGTTTTCTTTCCTGATGGTTGCCCTAAAGTTTCAACTATTGCCCAAATTGGCTGTTTGCAACTCTTCTCATTTTAGAGTGTGTAGGGATGTCAGTTCATAATTTAAGGCAAATGTTGTTTTCATCAGCTTTATCTTGTTTTCTGAGGAATTCTTCCTAGAATTATTGGCTACTATTTCAAAACTTTCCCAATCATCCTTTGAAACTAGTAGAAAACTATATAATCCTTAGACTACTTTTACTATATAATAGTTCCATGTAACTTTTTTAAAAATAGAAATGGGGTCTCGCTATGTTGCCTGGGCTGGACTCAAACTCTGGGCTCAAGCAATCCTCTCACCTGAGCCTTCCGAGTACCTGGGACTATCAGGGTGCACCACCATGCCCAGCTACTCCACATAACTGATTTTTTTTTTTTTTGGTTGTTTTTTATTCTTTAGGGTATCAATAGACCAACACTGCAGTCAGTTTCAGGGGCAAACATCCCCAAAGAATCTAAGCTCGGCAGTAGTACAGATGATACTAGAAATGGGGACTATTTGGATGTTGGCATTGGGCAGGTAACAATACTAATTCTCTTTGGTCATTTTTACTGCCTCTCATTAGTACTGTAGGAATAGATATAACTTTTGTTACTAATGAGAGATGCTTTTATTCTCTCCTTCCAGGTGTCTGTAAAATACCCCAGGCTCATTTATAAACCAGAAATATTCTTTGCCTTTGGATCTCCAATCGGAATGTTCCTTACTGTCCGAGGACTAAAAAGAATCGATCCCAACTACAAATTTCCAACGTGCAAAGGTTTCTTCAATATTTATCACCCTGTAAGTATTGTATAGCTAATGTGTTTTATATGAATATTGGGGCTTATTGGTAAAGAGCATATGATTTTCTGTTGATTTGTTTTTTTTTTTTCTATACCATTCTCTAGTAATGAGACAACTTGTAATAGTATTGATCTGGAAGTGATGGAGCCAACAAGTGTACATTTTTTTAATGAACTTAAAATTATTCTTGCTTAAGATACATAGTTCCTCAGACTATCTTTCTTCAGCAGAGATAAATGTCAGTATTATTTTTCCTATGTAGTTTGATCCTGTGGCTTACAGGATTGAACCAATGGTGGTCCCGGACGTGGAATTTGAGCCAATGCTGATCCCACATCATAAAGGCAGGAAGCGGATGCATTTAGGTAAGTCTAAATATAGAACTTGATGATTCTAGACCTTTGGCCAGTGCAGACTGAATGGACCCTGGACTCTTTGTAAATCATTTAGTGTTCTTTTTGTGTTTCAGAACTGAGAGAAGGCTTGACCAGGATGAGTATGGACCTTAAGAATAACTTGCTAGGTTCACTGCGGATGGCCTGGAAGTCTTTCACCAGAGCTTCATACCCTGCCTTACAGGCTTCAGAAACCGCAGAAGAAAGTGAAGGAGAACCTGAATCAAGTTCAGAGAAGCCTAGTGGTCAGTGCCCCTGTACACACTGATTCCAGACATCAGCCCAGACAGGAGGGGCTCCGTAGTATGGAGTTCTCATGCTCCGAGGCCGCCTTACCTTTCTCCTTTTATTGTACAGGACCTCTGTTATGGGTCACAGTGGGCTTTTGGCTCTGCCAACCTTTCCTGTCATCTTAATAGCCACTATCATGGAAAAACACTATTTGTGAGGACGAATGTCAAGAGAAGCTGAGCATCTGGTAATGAGGCTTTAAAACATTCCCCACTTGGGAACTGGGGGTAATGTTAAGAGCCTGCTCTGTGAAGTTCTTTGCTGTATAGGAGGAATTTCACTATGTGTTTGTGGCTCAGTTTTATTCTCCTGGCTGGGGACATGCTAGGATACTCTCCACTTAATTTCACAGTTAATATTGCATTCTTTTACTTTAGTTTCCAACTTCCCAAAGAGGTCTATTCCTGCTGACTATTTATAAAACCAAGGCAAATGACTTAGCTATCAAAGGTACAGGTAATGTGATAGGTTGAGCAAAAGAAAAGGGGGTTGGACAAAATTAGTGTGACCTGAGGAGCAGCTTTAAGGACATTGAGAGGAGGAAGATGGGACAAGACTCTCTGAACAGAGAGTAGCTCAACCTATGGTAAACTTGGAATCCGGTGGGGAGTAATAGGACAACCCTGGAGGGCTCAAAGCTTTCATTTTCTTCTTTTCTTTTTCGAGGCAGAGTCTTGCTGTGTTGCCCAGGCTAGAGTGAGTGCCGTGGCGTCAGCCTAGCTCACAGCAGCCTCAAACTCCTGGGCTCAAGCGATCCTCCTATCTCAGCCTCCCGAGTAGCTGGGACTACAGGCATGCGCCACCATGCCCGGCTAATTTTTTCTACATATATTAGTTGGCCAATTAATTTCTTTCTATTTCTAGTAGAGACAGGATCTCGCTCTTGCTCAGGCTGGTTTCGAACTCCTGACCTTGAGCAATCCACCCACCTCAGCCTCCCAGAGTGCTAGGATTACAGGCGTGAGCCACCGCGCCCGGCCTCATTTTCTTCTTATGACCCTTCCATATCTAGATGTTAACCCAGAAGAGCCCTCGGTGTCGGTCAAAGAAGAAGTCTTGCCCATCAACGTGGGAATGCTGAACGGAGGCCAGCGCATTGACTATGTGCTACAGGAGAAGCCCATTGAAAGTTTTAATGAATACTTATTTGCTTTACAAAGCCATCTGTGCTACTGGTAGGTGTCTGTCTTTGTTTCTGTTTTTTGTTTCACAGATACTTGGTAGATGTAGAAAAAGGAGAACAGGCCATTGTACATTTGGGATTAGAATGATTTCTCATTTAAACAGTTACAAAATAGTGTAATTGTGTCATTTAAAGAAATCTGATTAAAACACATTTATTTTGCATTTGTGTAGAGCATGGGGCTAATGATGCCAGCAATCATTAATTCTCTTATCTTGGTCTTAAAAGTGTGTCTTGGCCATTTGGGTGCATATGAATGAACTGGAACATACATTACTATTGCTGGAAGTATTTTAAGGAACCCATTGGAAAGCATTTAAAGTAGGATCAGAATTAATTATTAAATATAAATTACCTGACGGATTGTAGAATGGATTAATAGCACTCATTGAAATTCACATAACAGAATACAACTTCATCACTGAAGGAATTGAAGTAAAGAAAAATAAAGCTAGGAAAATAAGATGGGTCAGAGATAAGTGTTTAAAAAATGCAAGCTGAGGTCCTGAGAGGAATTTTTCTAATGGATTCTGATAAAGGAAACATTATCTGATATAATCAGTATCATCTTTTTATAATAAATACAATAGAGGCCATGACATAAAATCAAAGTGCAGTTCAGCAAAAGCAATCCAGGGCTAAAACAGTACTCTTCTAAGGATGTTTTCCCCTGATCTAGCTTGATAGAATATATAAAAAGGGGGTTCTTTTAGAATTTCTTATTTTATTTTATTTATTTATTTTTAATTTTAATTTTTGTTTTATTTTGAGACAAGAGTCTCACTTTGTTGCCCAGGCTAGAGTGAGTGCCGTGGCGTCAGCCTAGCTCACAGCAACCTCAAACTACTGGGCTCAGGCATCCTCCTGCCTCAGCCTCCCGAGTAGCTGGGACTACAGCATGCGCCACCATGCCCGGCTGATTTTTTCTATATATATTAGTTGGCCAATTAATTTCTTTCTATTTATAGTAGAGACGGGGGTCTCGCTCTTGCTCAGGCTGGTTTCGAACTCCTGACCTGGAGCAATCCGCCCGCCTCGGCCTCCCAGAGTGCTAGGATTACAGGCGTGAGCCGCCGCGCCTGGCCTAGAATTTCTGAATAGCAGCACATTCTTATGGTTTGAAACTCAAAGACAGACATAATGAAAAGCCTCTTTTTCATTTCTTTCCTTGCTAACTAGTTTCCTCCCCACATGCAGCTAACATGTATTTCTTAAAACTTCTTTCAGCAATCTGTGTTATGCTATATAATACATGTGTATGAATATATTATTTCCCTCCTTTTAAAAATATAAATAGTATCATATGAATTTTTTTCTGTGCCTTGTTTTTTCTTACTAGTATATCTTGGAGTTTTTTACGTATTGCATGTAGACTTTCCTCATTGTTTTAGCTGCATGTTATGTCACTATATGACTATACCATAATTTGTTTAACTAGTCCTCCACTGATGACTCTTTGGGTTTCTATATTTTTGCTCTTTACGCATCTTTTTCATGTCATTTCATGTACTCATGAGTATTTGTGTAAGGTAAAATACTTAGAATTGGAATTGCTGGCATATTGCTGGTATTTGCATTTGTAATATTTGATAAATATTGCCAAATAGCAGTTGTTCCTTTTGACACTGCTACCAGGAATGTATAAGAGTGTCTGTTTCCCTACAGCTTTTCCAACAGTTTTATCAACTTTAAATCTTTACCAATTTGTTGGGTGACAAATGTACAATATACTACTGCACATATTTAAAGTGTACAAATATGAGTTCTGACATGTATGTATCTGTGAAATCATCACCACAGTCAAATTAATGAACATAACTCATCGTGCTCAGAAGTGTCCTTGTGCCCCTTTGTAATTCTTCCCTCTTTTTCTCCTTTCCCCTCCTCCCAGTCTCCAGGGAACCACTAATCTGTCATCGTAGATTAGTCTGCAATGACTTTTATTTGAAATCATACAATATATACTCTTTTTTTGTCTGGTGGCTTTTACTCAGCATAATTATTTTGAGATCCATCCATGTTGTGTATGATCAATAGCTTATTTTTTTTTATTGCTGAGTAGCAGTCCATTATATGGATATATCACAATTTATCCGTTCACCTGTTGGTGGACATTTGGGTTGTTTCCATTTTTTGGTTATTAAAGCTACTAGGAACTTTCGTGTATAAGACTTTATATGGACATATTCTTTAATTTCTCTTGGGTAAATACTGGATGTCATATGGAAGTATATCTTTAAATTTATTTTTTTAATTTTCTTTATGCATTTTTCTTTTCTTTTGCCAAATTACTTCTTGCCTTAGAATGGAAGTGTGTCTTTAAAAGAAACTGCCCGACTGTTTCGGCACCAACAGTTTCCATTCCCTCAGCAGTGTTTGAGAGTTCCAGCTGCTCCCTGTCCTCAACAACTCTCGATAACTAGTCTCTTCACTAATCTGAATGAGTTATGATGGCCCTTCGCTGTGGTTTCCGTGTACATCTCCCTAATGACTGATGATGTTGAGCATATTTTAATGTTTATTTGCCATCCATATTTGGTCAAGTGTCTGTTCAGATCTTTTGCCCATTTTTAAAACTTTGATTGTCTCACTAAGTTGCAAGAGTTCTTTCTGTATTCTAGTGTCAAGTCCTTGTCAGATAGTTTTTTTTAAGGAGGTGCCTTATTTTTCATTTTTTCTATCAGTGTGTTTTCATTGAAGAGCAGCAGTTTTTGATTTTGATTAAGTCTGATTTATTGATATCTGTGCTTTTTGGACAGATTTTTAAAGTCTCTGCCAAATCCAAAATCATTGAGATTTCTCCTGTGTTTTACAAGTCATGTTTATGTTCTTACATTTAGGTCTATGATCCATTTTAATTGAGGTAATTTTTGATGTGGCGTGAGAGAAAGACTGAGGTTCATTGTTTTGCATATGGTTTATCTAGTTGTTCTAGCACCATTTGTTGAAAAGTTTATCAGAAGGAGCACCCATGATTTGCACTTGGCCCTTTTTTTTTGGCCCAACCCCAAATGGTTTTTTTTTTTGGAAAAAAAATTTCAGTTGAAACCGGGGTTTAAACATTATGTTTTTGGTCATTCTTCTGTTTTTTTTGGGTGGCAACTTTCCTCCCCACTTTTTTTTTATTTTTTGTTCATTTTGAATCCCCCCCTGCTTTTTTGGGGGGTCCCTTTTTTTGTTTTCTTTGGGGGGGGGATGCCAAAAAACAAAAAACACTGGGTTCCCTTTAAAATTCCCAATTGGGGTAAAGCCCCTTTTATTAATGCCCATTTTTTTTTTTCAATCGAGGTTAAAGCATGAGGGTTTTTCCCCCAAGCCCCTTTTTTTTTTTTTGTTTTTGTTTTTTTCCCCTTTTTTTTTTAAAATTTTCAGTTTTTTCAAAAAGTTTTTTTTTTTTTTTTTTTTATTTTTTTTTTGGGCCTCCCTTTTTTTTGGTAAAGTTTTTTTTTTTTTTTTTTTTTGGTTTTTTGCCCCCAATGTTTTTTTGGTTTTTTTTTTTTTTTTTTTTTTTTAACAGTCCAAGTTTTGGTTAATTTTTTTTCCTTTTTACAAAAAAATTGAAAGTTTTTTTTTTTTTTTTTTTCCCTTTGGGGAACTTTTGGGTGAAATTTGGCCTTTTTTTTTTTTAAATTCCATAAGAAAATCCCAATTTTTAGAATTTGCCAAAATTTGTCAAATCTAATAAAAGGAATTGACCCCAATTTTTTTTTAGTAAAAATTATTGGGGGAAAGTCCTTTTCCCCCCCCCCTTGAATTCCCCAAAATTGGAAAACAAAATGGAAATCTTTTTTTCTTTTTTTTTTTTTTTTTTTTCCCTTCAAAATTTTTTTATTTTTTTTTAGAAATTTTGGTTTTCCTTTTTTTTTTTTTTTTTTTTTTCCCTTCCCTTTTTCAGCAATTGTTTTTTTTTTTTTTTAAATAGTTTTTTTTTTTTAAATTTGTACAAACGATTAGTCTTTTTTTTTTTTTTTAAAAAAAATTTTTTTTTTTTTTTTTTTTTTTGGAGAAACCAGAAAGTCCCTCAAACCTTCCTGGGGTTTTTTGCCCCCCCCCAGGGGCTTTTTTTTTTTTTTTTTGAGGGTTGGGCCCCGTGGGGCCCCCCGGTTTCCAAGCCTTAAGGCCCCCTTTCCACAGCCCCCAAAAAACCCCCTCCAAAAAAAAAAAAAACCTCCCCCCCCCCTTTGGCCCCTTCTTTTTAGCGGGAATTCCCCTACCCTTGGCCCCGTCCCAAAAAGCCCCCTCGAGTACGCCTTTTGGGGGGGGGAAAAAGAAAAAAAAAAAACCTTTTACCCAAAAAAAAAGGCAAATCGTTTGCCCCGCCAACCCCAAAAAATTGCCCCCCGCTAAATTTTTTTTTTTTTTTTTTTTCTTTTTTAAATAAATAATTTTTTTTTTTTAAAAGTTTTTTTTTTTTTTTGGGCCCCCCAAAACTTTTAAATTTTTTCCCCCTTTCTTATTTTTTTTTTAAAAGTAAAAAAAGAGGACGGGTTTCCCTTTTTTCCAAACTCTTTGCCTTTTCAAAAGGCTTTTTTTTTTTGGTCTTTCCAAAACTCCCTTTTTGAAAACTTTGAGCCGAATTCCACCCGCCCTCAAAAAAAAGCCTTTTTTCCCCCAAAGAGTTGCTAAAAGGAAATTTTTTTTTTTTTTTTACCAGGCGTTTAACTTTCTTAATAGCTTTTTTTTTAAAAATTTGGTAATTTCCCTTATTAAATGAAAAATTTTAAGAAAAATTTTTTTTTGACCATCTTTGAACATTTTTAAATATTTTTTTTTTTAAAGGGCCAATTTTTTTTTTTTTTATTTCCCCCCTTTTTTTTTTTTCTGGGAAGGTTTTAAATTCTTTTTTTTTTTAAAAATTACCCCTTTTTTTTAAAAACTTCCTTTTTTTTCAAATATTTTTGAAAAAATGTTTGGGCCTTTTTTTTTTTTCTTGAAATAGTTTTGCAAATAATCGAAAAGTTTGGCAATTACCTTTTTTTTTTTTTCCTTCCA